TTAGCGAATTATTCAACATAAAATTAATCTGATTAAAATGTTTTGTAGATTATTCTTGTTAAAATATCTTTAACCATAATGTTAAACCTTGATTAAATTGATTAACAACATGTATGTTTATAAAAACAGTAGCTTCTCATATTAAATTAATCTTAAGAAGAAGCCATGCAACATAAAGCCACTTATTATAATATGAAAAAAGTAATAATGAAAAAATTAATTTTGAAATAGTTTGCTTTCTTTATACGTTAAGTTCTATGAGTAAGAAATTTTGCATGAAAAATATTGTGTATTTTGCTTATTTTTGTAATAAAAAAATGAACTACGCTTGCAAAAAATGTTTTATACATAATATAAGAGGCATCTTTGCTAAACAGAAACTTAAGAAACATCAGATAAAATAATTTTATCTGGATTAGACGTAATTTATTTTTGAATAATCATCTGATAACCGTTACAGGTAAAAATGAGGTATCATTTTAATATATATATAACCCGTTAAACATATACTTTTAATACGTACGTTTTGACAAAATATTAGCAATTAGAAATCAACTTTTGGAACTTATACACTGTCGCGACTTTACATTCCACAATTTCCTACAAAAACTGGTTTGCCAAAACTCTTATGACGTTCAACTACTTCATTAAATGCTTTATTTATGCAGAAGAAGCCATCAGTATAAGTGAAAGCTTTAATACATAATTTCTGATCATTATTCAAAATATGAAAGACCAACGGAAAAGAAGAAAAAAAAATTAAATTAAACAGCCGGGCTAAAATAAAAATTTCTTTTCAAGGATGTCGCATGCTGTCATCTCAAGGAAGATACACACATAATTTCTTTCGTATTTACGAGAAGGAAATTTTTTGAATGGAATGACTGCTAACTCGCCTGCACAATGGACAATGAACATGTAATTGAGGAAGGGTTGAAATTGATTTCGAATAATTTATTTCCAATTTTTGTCTGATTGTTGTCCAACATTTTTTTGTACGGGTGTCGACTGTACGGCGCGTTTCTGTGCGCATTTGCATAAAGTATAGAACACGGGCAAAATAATTAGCCGGTTATGCGACTGACGAGAATGTTGGACGAACTTTATTGTCAGTCAAAAACAGCTGGTGGGAGGTGAAAGAACAATACGGAGATGTGGATTTTCAACTTGATAAAAAGATAAGGAGTTAGCTTGTATCCTGAGAATGATCAAGAGTTTCTTCAGATGTGTGTCAGATACTTGGATGGGTTGTTTCTTCCTGTTATGAAATGCGGGAGTGTCTATTTTGGAACATAAACGAAATTACTATTATGATTTGGGTCAGTTTTCTTTCCAAAGCAACAAATTGGAACGAAAGAAGTATGTATATGAGAAAGTACGGTTATCAACATTCACAAACTGAGGATAATGTTACTATATTAACTAATAACCAAATATATGATGGAAAATGTAAGCATTCTTCCGTCTGGAAAAACAGTTACATTACACACGATATAGACAGATTCAGAATGGAAACAAAAACTACCCATGCTCCTTTCAAAGCAGAGAGGGTAACAAATAACTTTTTACTTTTTATATCATCGACAACAAAGCTTTAAACAATAAATTTGCATTTTTCATTCTAAAAAGTATTCTCATTTCAGACAAAGAATCTCAGGAATTCGATTTCGATAACTCGATAACTAAAAATTCAGCTTTAACTCCATGTTTTTTGTTTTTGTTTTGTTTGTTTCTTTCTTTATATCAACTTTAAAAGTAAAATAAAAATTTGTTTCATTAGAAAAAAAAATACAGGATAACTATTAATTCTTATTTCTGAAACATAATTATAATTTTAATATATTAATTTTTGTAATCTTATCGTAAAAATTCATTGAAAGTTTTACTCAAAAATGTACTTTCATACGCTAATTCAATATCACTGAAATGTAAAAGATTCACTTGTAACAACGTATTAGCGCTAAAGTTTTCAAATTACACTTAACTCGTCTTAATTCCATTTTATTTTTCGGGTAAATACTTAAATGTATCATTGCAGAATTTATTACAGCATATTAAGTTTTTGGTTACAGCATATTAAGTTTAATTGTTATCTATTTGGCAAACTTGTAATTAATACTTTCTTTCAATTAAAAACAACTGATGACAAAAAGACATTTAAAGTATGGGAATTGCCCTGAATTTATTTAATATCAGTGAGTATATAAAAATATTATTCGAATATTTTCTTACTTGTGTTAATATTTGTAAGCAGAGTACATGGATTTAGCATACTTGTGAAAATATGTACTGTAGTTCCTTAACACTAAATTACTGCTGTAAAAACATATTTCATAATAAATAAGTGTTCATGCTTGAAAATGGTGTTAGTTTACTTATCTCTCATGTTTAATCTTGCTTTTATTTAATAACTGTTTCTGAAATAAACATTTAATCGTTAAAAATAGAAGAAATTCACTCCTATTATTCTTGCCAATCCTGGACTCTTAAATAAAATCAATCGATGTGTTCTTTAAAAGCTACTAAAAATATATATAACCAACTTTAAAAATCAAATTTAACTAAGGTGACGTTGGTGTGGTGTTAACGTTTTGAGAGCTTAGGTGTTGTCCTTGTCACTTGACCGAGGTTCAAAGTTACAAGGTCAATCGCCAATCACCCTCACGCTGATTCAAAAGGCGGCGATCAACAATCAATCAGGCAATTAATAATATCCTAAAACATTATTGATGGGTATTTTAAAGTAATGTAATGCAAGCTATTTCTGTTCTTGTGATATTAAGAATTAATTACCTAGAATGGAATTTGAAATAAAAAAAAAGAGTACAAAATATGTCACATAACAATACACAACTTTTCATCTACTAATGTTTTTTTTTATTAATATATTAAAAAATTCAAAAATCAAACCTACAGTGAAAATCTATTGCCAAAAGAATATTGCCATCTATCATGGGAATAGGATTTGTGTGAATTAGAGATAGTAAAAATTATGAAAAGCCGAAATCAGTACTCTAATTTATATATAGATTTAAAATATATTATTATAAAAGTTAAATATCTCATAAAATTTAATCAAAATTTTGTTTCCACTTAAAATATATTCAAAAATTTTAATAATTACAGAGGGGGTTCTCAATACAAATTTTTACAAAATATTACAATTTTTGACGGAAAAAAAACTTATTTAAGATTACTTTATTTTCCTTTAATGTAACTTAGTTACTTTATCTGTAAGTCACAATTTCTTAAAAAATTTTTTTGGTGGTTTTGTCCCAATTCAACTGGATATTTTCTTTTTTTAATTTTCTGCTTGGCAGTGAAACTGAACAAATATCAACAAGAAGAATTTTCTGGATCAAATTAAAAGAAAGATTCATCCCTATTACTATGCATTTTTTCTTTTGTATAAGAAAACAAATCTTAATAATAATAAAAATTCTTCTTATAATACTACCATTTTGGTTTCCAAATGAAAAATGAACTACTATTATGTTTTTATTTTAATTTACGCCTTCCCAATCCAAATTCGAAGCTTTAAAAAAGTTTAAAATTTATCTAAACACACAAATTTTGAAATATGTTATTTTAATTTGTATAAATAGAAAATATATATATTAATTCTCTAATTCTCTACTTGTCTAAAGTTATTCCACATATTTAAAATTTAAAAATTTTTTAGGCATTGAAATTGAAATTAGAAAACATCCCATTTTTTTTTTTAAAAAAAATTTAAGCATTTAATGCATTAATTCCTTGTTTCGACTTAAATTATTTTCTTCTCATAGATTGTTTTTCCCCATTCATTGAAGTCAATTTTTTTAAAATTAAAAAACATTATAGTGTTTACTGTTTACTTAAAATATTATAATACCTAAGTTATGAACTATTATTTGCTTTGTATTACTTTTTACTTTTAAATCAAATTATTAATAATTTTATATAGAAGTAATGGAATTCAAAAAATTACATACCATGAATCAAGTTAAGTTTGCGCAACACGTGAACTGTGAGAATCATAGAATAAAAACATATCGCAAATACAATATCCAAGAAATCCAACATGACTGTATGTTAAAGTAAAAGTATATCACTAAAAAAGTTAAGAAAGTCCCTTAGTCACTGAAATGAATCTGCGGAATAATTTTTAAAAGAAAGATAAGCATTTTAGAAGCACATAATAAACTTCTTCAGTCGTCTGGAATATCAACTGAATCTCAGGAAACAAAATAAAATTGTGAAATACTAATTCTGGTTATTAACGCAAAAGGAAAAAGCGTAGAAATAGAAAAATCTATTCTAATGTCACGTACTTTAATGGGTTATTACAGTGTGTCTCCAGGTATTACTAATTGCGTCAAGGTCAAATACTGAAATGTTATTAGTTTTCATTTGAATAGCTAAAATTAGACATCAGTAAAAAGCAAAACAAGGTATTATTAGAACTTTTCTGGCTTAAATTAGTGGATATTTACAATATACAGATTTTGTCATTCGTGAATTGATAATTTTTTGATAATTGCTCGCAAATTAAGAATTCTTAAAACTGATCAGAATCATAATTATATAACTATCTTGTAATTTTTATTGGAACATTTTTCATTTTAAAAGTAAAACTTTTACTAAATCTTGCTAAAATATTTTTTTCAAAAAATACCCTTTAATATGCAATCTGTAGAAAACATCGATGACGGAATGTAAAACGTTTTTCTATTCCTACTATTAGCTCTTCACTCCCCTCTCTCTCTCTATATATATATATAGAGAGAGAGAGAGATCTCGTGTGTGTGTTCAAATTTTAAATCGTCAATAAAATGCTTTCTATTCATACATTCAAGTTCAAATACATTTTTTAAAACTTGTAGTGGATGACACTTGATGTTGATACAGTTTTTTCAAATATTAATTCATTAATTAAATTTAAAAAAATGAATAAATAGTGACAAACAAAAATAATAGTCCAACTGCATATATAGAACAGAAACTCGCTTGTTGTGTTCCTCTGGCGCAATGCATAGCGCGTTGAACTTCTAATCCAGGGGTCGTGGTTTCGAATCCCACCTGGTTGGCCTAATTTTTTAGAAAGTGATTTCTTTTTTACTAAACTATTTTATTAGAATAATTAAATTTAGTTAATGAATAAATAGTAACAAACAAAAAATAATCCAGCACCAATAGAAAGGAAAATGGAAAATAGCAAGGAAAATCGCTTTTTATTTTGTCACTTAATATTGTGCTTCTGTCATACATAAATTTATATTTATATTAATTATAACTATTTAATAAAAAAGTAACTAAAATAAAAATTTTCGTTGTTGAACTAAGTATGAATTGACTTAATTTTTTTTTACATAACTTGTTTATAAAATTTAGCATCGATTTTAGTAACATTTTTATTAGGGATAAAAGGGAAAATTCACATAAAATGGATATTCATGAAGAGAGAATAATCTATATTCTTCAAAGCTATCAAGGTTGTTTCCTCGCTTTCATTTATTAGCATAATTCACACATGTGCTGTAAAAGAAGCCATCGCATTAGAAACCTGTTATGCATTATTGCCTATCCTTGATTTTATTTTTCATTTAACGAAATCTTTTGAATAAAGATTTATAATCTCATATAGCTTTTGTTTAACTGGTTAATCGTATTAACTTTTAAATATAATTCAGGTTAATGGAATTCAAGGTCAATTAAATTCATTGTCATCGAAATTAAGTTGGCTTCTTTTTTTTTGAGTAAATTATTTATTCTCTTAAAAATATTGTATTTTCCTCAAAACGATGCATAAAATCTAAATATTCCAGCCTGTGTTGATGTTCATAACACAACAAGGTCGTTCGTTATCACAAAAAAACATCTTTTGAATTTTTTTTCAGTATTATATCAATTTTCCTCAAAGTAATCTACATTTGTGCATGCAATATTTGTAAAACATAACTACGGCTATTCACAAAAATAAAAGAAAAAAGTATTTGAATTATATTCTTTATTACAAATGTAGACAACACAGTCTAAATTTGAACCTTTTTAATTCATGTTCATTTTTTCACATTTCTTATAAAATGGATTACAAAACCCCTTTGTACATTCTTATTGATTTTAACCAAAAATGATAGTAAATATTGTTTTTTTTTTATAATAAAGACGTATCATTTTAATTAAAAAAGATTCTTCTCCTCTTTAGTATTCTTTACTCTACAGTTTCTCTAGTATAAAAATATTAGTAGAATTTTATTCACGCTTGTTTAGATAATGCTTTTTAGATACTTTTTTCAATGATTATATTTTATATAAGTGTATCTTTCATTTCTATACGTAATTTACTATCATTCATGCATAGTAATAGTTTGTTTTTTAGATAATTACCCCTACAGTTTTATACTAAAAGGAAGCGGGGGGATGATTACAAATCGAATTTGAATAAGATCTTTAAAAATATTTTCAAATTATTATGCGGAAAACTAACAACTCCAATAATTATATAATTTTCCTTCAACGCGAAAATGAAACCAAATTGGAAAGAAAGATTCTAAGAACTGAGGGCGAAAAAAGTTAATAGATATTACATTAACAAAATTATGTGGATTTAAAGAGTTTGATGAAATTTGAAATTCTTTTCGAATGTTTCTAGTTAAAATAAAATGTTAATTAAATCAGAAAAAACTGAATAATGTGCATTAAAAAATCAGATTTTTTAAAATCAAGTCAAGTAAGAATACTTATTTATTTGCTATGTAGTTTGATACTTAACTAATTTTTGTCAATAAATATTATACCTATATAAAATAAAAATACTATAAACTTCTATAGAAATCAGATGAAAATTGTTTTACGATAATAGATTTATTCAAAAGTAAATATTGAAAGAAAAAAAGAGAAAAAGAATGCAGCCTTTTTTACTTTAAATACACACTGAAAAGTTTAGGATGTTTACAACTTTTATGTATAAGCTACTTTATAAATACAGAATAATAACATGAAAAGAGTGATGACATGCGTTTTTTGAGAATAAACAAAACATATAATAAATAATCTTACCTTCGATCAGCCTCAATCGACGTAATACATAGAGAAGCGAGGCCAGGAAATGGCCCACCATAGCCAAAGCGAAACGTTTAAATTCCATTTTAAAATATGACAAAATTCGATCTAATCACATATAAAATTCTGCGAATGCGGTCAAAAAGAATATGTCCTAAACTGTATTAAAAAAATCAGAGATATACCGCGAAGTAATTCCACTTGTTGCACCTGAGTACGCGAATCAAACAGCGATCATCAACATCTGCAGCAGCAGTTATGCTTTGCTTCTATCCATCTCAGCGGTTGGGTCAATGATGCAGAGCAGATCTCTAGTTGAAGGGGAAAATACAAACACCAGGAAAAACGAAACAGACAAAAAAGCTGCTTCATCGTTCCTCTGCCACAAGTGGTTCTGCGTTGCTGACGTTTCTGGATCGGGATTTGGCGCTTGCATGCTTCGTGGGAAGAGGACGCTCTTCTGAGAAACAGTTTCGATGCTCAATGGCGTGTTGGAGTTTGGTGTCACCAATTCCTCAATTCTTGGTTGGAAGGTGTATTTGTTTTTTATTTTGGTGTTTCAAATGAGGTTGGTGCTGGATTTTTAAAGGTGGTTTAAAATTTACGTTTTTTTTTCTTAAAGTGAAGCTTACCGTACCAGAAAAGTCGATCAAGGTTTCGAATAGTCATTAAGAAATACCGAAAACTCAAGACAAACACAAGTAATATAAAAAAAAATTAAGTCAATTCCTACTTAGATCAACAAAGAAAAATTTTATTTTAGCTACTTTTTAATAAATAGTTATAATTAATATAAATATGTATCTGCATATGACAGAATCACAACATTAAGTGGAAATGAATTTTTATTAATTATCAATAAAGTATTGTATTGTCATCCATAACAATCGTGTATATAAAATTTCATTTCAAATGAAGGCTTTAAAACGTGAGAAAAAACCTTTTTCAAGTTTTTGACACAAGTCGCCAAAAGGATCGCTAAGTCACCAAAAAGGATGCTAACGTGATTTTATTGGTTCTTCTTTGAATAATTAGTTTTAATCAGTTAATTTTTATTAATTATAGTTAAATTATTGTATTGCTATCCAAAATAAAATCATGTATATAAAATTTCAGCTCAATTGAGTGCTTTAAAATGTATTTTATCAACGATTGAAAATTCCACCAAGATAAATAAATAAATATATAGAGAGTGTGAGCTAATAGTAGAAATTGGAAAATAAAAAAAAGAAATTGATAATTTCTCGTAGATCGGAGATTTTTGTGTCAGTATTCGAAAAAACGTTGCCGAAACATTTGAATAAAATTTTGCGGTGACCATTCAAAATTTAGACTTGTTTTCGTTGTACTAATTTCATATTCTATTTCAAAACAAGAAAAGTTTAGCTGAGTTGTAAAAGTTTTTTTTTTTAAAAATTAAGCAGAAAGTTTTCAGTTCTCTGTTTCTCTCTCTCCGTGTGTACCGTCTTTCGTTTTGCAATAATTTATTTTCTGATGTTATCTCATCAAGTAAGCTTCGAAAAAGTAATTCGTTTTTGTTGAGAAATAATTTTGAACTAAACAAATAAAAATTTTATATTACAATTAAAATTGTTCCTTTTACATACGAAATCACGCTCTTTTTCTTTCGTTTTTATTATAACGACTGTTGCGGTTTAAAATGTGTGCGGTTAATATTAGCCAATTGGATTCTTTCGTATAGCACACTATTAAGGTTCTGGCAAAAAAAAAGAATTTTTATGAAAATCATATACTTTTAGCACATGATATTTTACAAATAATGTACATATTTATTACTTTTTGATAGAAAGTGTTTCTTTCCTGCAATAACTACGTAATAAATTCATTAAAATCTTTTATATTTTTCCTTTCTAAAGAGTGTTTTTTTTTCAGGTATAGAAGTTTAAGTTGGCCTTACTTTCCAAGATGGCGACCAATTTAACAGCTGTCAAGTGATTTATTCTCAGTTTGGTTTGACAATTCATCATGAATAGACTCACGCCTCATAGAGATTCGTCGAATGGGCCCAAAACGAGATTGCCGTTGTTCCCGATTTTCATAAGCGAATTTTGTTTAGCGATGAAGCGCATTTCTGGTTGAATGGCTACGTCAACAAACAAAACTGCCGCATTTGGAGTGAAGCTAATCCACAAGTGCATGTCGAAACACCGTTACATCCAGAAAAACTGACTGTTTGGTGCGCTTTATGGGCTGGTGGAATCTTTCTTCAAAAACGATGAAGGCCACAACGTTACAGTCAATGGTGATCGGTATAGAGCCATGATTACTAACTTTTTCATTCTTAAATTGAACAATCATGATGTCCAGGAGATGTGGTTCCAACAAGACGGCGCAACATGTCACACAGCTCGTGTCACAATCGATTTATTGAAAGACACGTTTGGTGACCGCCTAATTTCACGTTTTGGACCTGTGAATTGGCCTCCAAGATCTTGTGATTTAACACCGCTAGACTATTTTCTGTGGGGCATTTTTAAGTCATTGTTCTATGCGGATAAGCCACAAACGCTTGACCATTTGGAAGACAACATTCGCCGTGTTATTGCCGATATACGGCCACAAATGTTGGAAAAAGTCATCGAAAATTGGACGTCCAGATTGGACTACATCCGAGCCAGCCGTGGCAGTCATATGCCAGAAATCATATTTAAAATGTAATGCCACAAGATTATCTTTCGAATAAAAAAAAAAAATCATGTCAATCGAATTATACATCGTTGTTTTATTGCAATTTAAAGTTCTATACCTCTCAAAAAACACCCTTTATTATAGAAAGAAAATATTTTTATCTTCGAAAATTTTACATAATTCTATTTGTGAACAATTCGTGCGTCTTTTGTGGCACAAAGATAAAAATGAACTTTAATCACAAATATAATGGAAAAAGAAGCGCTGTGTAACATGACGTCACACAGTCCTGTGTAACGTCACGTGTGTTAAGCGGTCGCTTAACGTCACGATTAGAATTTTGCAATAGAATTCTGGAATTTTATTTTTTTGATGT